ATATATAGGTTTCAATCGGAGCGAATTCTCGTTAGTATGGCATCCCAGTATGTTTCGGGTCACCCTGCACAGTTTGATTCCGCAATCGTCATTGTACTTTCCACTATGTTTCTACTTCAGTGTGATTAATTTTCATAACACACTGCTTAACTTGATTTGACAACTCACCGTCTTCCGAGAGTCTGTACGCGAATGAGTGTCCAAGAGCCAGTTGATTTGTATTAGACTAACAGCAGATCATCAGAGTGAATGTTATGTGATCATGACGTGTTAGATTCATGTTCCCCTATGCTGTCTTCCCTACTCTCATACCACGTAAGGGAAGTCGGAATAGACGAGGTAATGGATAAGCACTCCGAAAGCATCAAACGTGATGGCTGTTTTATAGAAAGCAAGTAGCTTCATTCCTATCCTCTATTATGTTATCGCATGATGTCGTGTAGCTTCGGATAGACGCAGATAGCCCACAATGACAGTCACACTACTGTTCATGAACGGGTGTTGGGGTAAATGTCCGGAATGAAAATACTGTTACTCTTTGGTTGGGACAGTCTTTGCAGTTGCTCAAGGGAAGTTGTGGCACACACGATTTCATTTCTTAAGAGTGTTCCACTGTTTTACTTTTAGAGTCAAATTAAGTATCATTCATCGATAAGAGTGAATTCAGAGAGACGGCCGTACTGTTTTGGACATCGCTGAATGCTTTGTAACTTGATTGTCCACTCCAGATGTTCAACCGGATTGATGACTCAATTGGGTTTATTTTGTTGTGAGGCCTCTTAGGGTTTCGAATAAAAGCCTAAACTCAACTTCACCCCAAGGCCCCTCCAATTGATTCGCTGTTGATGGGAGAAGTCAATGGCTTCCTTGTGAAGCCTAACAAGGGATAACTGGACTCCACGTCTATACACATCATATGTATAGCGGTGGACGAGCTCTATATCAGACCTATTTGTCTCAACAGTAGTCCTTTGTTACCTTTTACTTAATTATCGTCTTGACTAGAACAGCAGGAGTTTTGTGGAATGTCCTGTCTCGTGAAGCCTCTATCCCCCGACGCGACCAAGTAACAGTGATTCCAGCGAAATGCATTTGCACCCAACCCAGCCTTATTGACCGAATTCGTAGAGCGTATGGTGGTCCTCGTGATCCACACTTCAAAACTAGCCACACTTTTGTACAGCAACAGTACAAAAGTGACGCCGAATTGAACGCTATCCACGCTCTACTACAGCCCACCCAAATGGGACACAAGTTTCGTGCTCTTTATACGGTACACCAACACCATATGAACCTAGACAGATTTCTAATCCTTATAATCCCGAGCTATTTTCACACGTGCGTTCCATCCATGCTCCCGTTCACGAGGGCTTCATCTTGAATACTGTAAATTCTGCAACCTCGTATATACGGTTCTGTCAGCTTCAAAGAAAGTGCTATGTAGTTCTTGGTACATTGAACCTGACAAAGTGGAAAATGGGAGGACGGTAGGTCAGCTGCGGGTCAGCATGACGAGTTCATTGACGTAGAAATAGAAGTAGTAATGCACTGAGCACAATCTATGCGTCCCATTTGGTGCACTACTGGACCCTGTCTGCGATTGTCCATGGCCGCGGTGTGTCTATTTCCCAGCTCCTCACCCGGTAAGACAGCAGTGATCAGAGTGAATAAAGTTACCGATCAGGTGTGTTGCACCTATTTACCAAGTCGTAGATCACAAACGTTTCTGCAAATTTCCACGCTGCACATGGCTGGGCGGCAAGAGCTGTTCTAGACAGATGGTTCCTTGACGTGCGCTGCACGTACCCCAACCAACGCAACGTAGGGATTGTAACCAGCTCGTTTATTGTCGGTGAGTCGCGTATCCCAAGATCAAACTTGGTAATCCCAGCATTGCTGGTTTCATTTTCAATGAGAGTAATATGGGAGGCATACTTACTCTCCTTGAGCAAACTTCTCAGAGGTATCCCCATGTCCGTAAGTGGAAGAAATCTGAGATACCTCTGCTTGAGCCTCATTCAAAAATCGGACCCACAACGTAGTGGAAGTTGCTGGTGGGTATGTTTCGGTATCCTCAGTCACCCAACATTCTGATCTGTAAGGCAGCAGTGTTACGATTTTCTTGAGAAACCCTACAGGCAACTAGTGAAATAAAAGTTCGACCAAGCCGGTTCCGAGGGTTTGGCTTCGCTCGATGGTGCTGGAAATGCCTGACTCCTGAAGTCGTTGCTCAAAGCGGGTGTTCTCAGAGTCGCGTTTTCGATAATGTCGGATACTGCGCGAACATACCTAGTCGTCACAAAATTGTTAATTTCGGTCCTTCAGTCACATGAACGGACATCTCTCGACTAAACAAATTTTTAACACTCCAAGGCAGTAATATATGTTATCAGCTGAATCCTTACTATCGTTGTAGGATTGGTGTTAAAATACGAACTGTTGTGTGTTCATTTGAACCCACAGACTAGTATACTTTAAACTGCAGAAGCAGGAGATAGACATTTTAGTGAATGGTAGGGTTAATCTGTTGTTTTTGTTCTCTTTTTCCCCGCCCATTCATATTATCAGTGAAGTTCATCTCAAAAATTACTTATAAGGTTCCTTGGGTGATTTTCTCGTAGTCGAATAAACACTATCACCATGGGGTACGCATGCTTTTTGGCATGTTCACTTTTGCAAGTTTAAAAGTCTACACAAGAATCCTTTGTCGAGAGTACCGGCTTCAATACGTCCAGTCAAATTTCTCTCGTGGACAACGTAGAATTTTCCACGTTTCCGATGGCAACAGTTAAAGAAAATCCAGTTTCAAGTCACTATTTAAGGTTGGGGTGTGAAAGAAACTTCACAGAAACAGAAACACCAATATACCGCGTTCTCTGTAGCATGCAACTCGCTAAATTGACAGTCGTCGACTAAACCCTTCAGCGGTCGTTGTAGATAGGTTTTGCTGTGTTCCAGTCGATGTAATCATTCTACCGTACATCCCTTTCAGAGTGATTTGCGAGAGTTCGGAGTACCATGGATTGCTGATCATAAAAAACAGGAACAAGTGAGTCGGATACGACATGATAATCCCGCACAAATATTGCTTGTTTTCCTGCTTGCCTTGGCTAGGGAGCCAGTTTGTTCATCAGATACTCACTCACGTCTCGTTCTTTCAACCTAGCTAGATGCTGGAGGTCGCATTGTTCAAGTGGTACGCTGCCGTAACATTGCCATACCCTTGGCTGACGAAGACCACACCAACGTAACTGGACCCTACACAGGCCCTCGACTCCTCAGACTGGCTCTCACCGATGGACGTAGCACTGTTGCCGCTCTGGATGTAGACAACAATGAGCGATTGAGGTAAGTATGGTCCCGTTCCGTATGATGAAGCTGAGTTCGAGTGTTCCTCGTAGCCGTATTATGTGTTGGTTCCGCTCAAACCACCATCCATTTTCCTTTAGAAGTAAGTGGTTTGAGTGAATAATTGACTGGAAAAGAGTGTTTGAAACGCACTAAGTGGCTTGGAAACGACATTATCTGACTTCGTTTCTAACGATTGGCTCAGTCCGTAAACTGCTGTTGTTGTGCACATTTCAGTATGAATACTCCTCCCGGGACCAAGTTGCGTCTGATGGGCACAGTTCCTCTGTGCTTAGGGTTCTTGATTCTTCAGAAGCAACACGTGCAAGTGCTCGGTGGGAACGTCATGAATCTGATCAAAGAATGGACCATGACAAAGGTGAATAGGGATGGTTCTTTGTTTTACACAGAATTTGGTTTGATGTATTTGAATGACCATTCCCTCCGCAGCGATACCTTTCCACTGGCTTCTATCACAAATCTTGTTTCATCAGTCTCATATATCTATATTTGGACGCTCTCCCGAGGATAGGCTACTAACGGTAGTGGAGTAGTTGTAGACTGGTTGATCCCAGCACCATTGAGTTTGATGTTACGATTCGGCGGTAACTGTTTTTGTGGTTGACTAGGTTTTTCGTCGCTCAGACCGTTGCTTGGTCTCATCATCATTGTCACTGGTGTTTGATATCGGTGCTTGACTGTCTTGCATCCAAACCAGGTAAAACCGATGGTGAAAAGAAGAGTTGGATGGGAAGTGCCCGTCAGTTATGAACAGGCCTAAATATGTGGCTGTTGTTAGCACATCGAATGGGCGACACGTGACCGAACCGCTGCAGCTCGTAATACCGGACGCATTCCACAAGTGTTCAAAACCTGAAGAATTGAGGCATCATCCTTGTTGTTGAGTTATGGTCCTATTGATAACATTTACTTACTTGTCTTTTAGGTAATCAATGAATATAAAATAATATAATAT